GAATTCATTTACACGGGAGTAAAACATTGCTTTTCTAGACCTTCAAGATAAATCTGAAACCAAAGAAACTAGCCAGTTCTCAGGAAGAAATGTGGCAGAAATAGAAACTTGTCATTCAGAGAATGGTTGTTAAAGAAAAGATTTCAGAATTAAAAATCAAAACCCCTTTCAGTCTTACTAACAGCAAAGTAATGGCTTAAGAGACCCTTGTTATTTTAACATAGGGGGTCAAAATTTTAAGTTCTGTTTTATGAAAAACTTCTTTCATAAACCTTCTTTTTATAAACCTTATCATGAGTCACTCAGACCATCTATAATATGCTTGGACTTTTTGTCTTGCCCTGTACTTTCTCTTTCTTAAATAACCGGTCATTTTACTCTATGACAAATATTTCCTTACTTCACAAGAATTTTTTCTTATACCAAAAAATTTTTTTTCACATCTCTTTCTTTTTTTTTACATCTCTCTCTCTCTCTCCTACTTACTGATTCCTTTCCATCTTGCTTCCTTCCTAAATCCACATTTTAAGCCTCACTTTGAATAACCTCCAAATTAGACAAAATTATTCTTTTCTTACTATAGAATATATCTTATGTCTTTTTAAATATTTTTTTCTTATTAAACACACCCACCTAAGCCGGGCTCGGTGGCTCAACCTGTAATCCCGCGCTTTGGGAGGCTGAGGTGAGTGGATTGCCTGAGCCCGCGGGTTCAAGACCCACCTGGGCAATTTGGCGAGACCTCATCTCTACAATAATAAAAAAAAAAAAAATCAGCCAGACATGGTAGCACATGCCTGTAATTCCCGCTACTCGGAAAGCTGAGGTAGAAGGATCACCGGAGCCCAGCAGGTTGAGGTTGCAGTGGCCGCTCTCGGCCACTGCACTCCAGTCTGGGTGAGAGTGAGACTCCAACTCAAAAAAAAAAAAAAAAAAAAAACACACACACACCTTACTTTTGGCACAGTTCATATACAGAATTACATATTAATTAGAATTTTTAACTCTTAATAATGTTAAATTTTATTAAAAACATAGGAAGTGCAAAATCTTGAATTGCCTGTCACGTAGTATTTTATATATAAGAACCATGTTTTCCTATAGCATAATTGTTATGCATATTCACAGACCCAAGCATATTTAGTCTTTACATTAAGTATAAGAAGCAAAGGACAAATTTATGATCAGCAATTTGTTCTAGTTTTTGTCTTATTTGGAAATGACACATGTATTTAATAAGTATCCATTGTTTAAATAGAATTTCAAATTACATAAAAATGCATTTATAAATATTTATCCCATTGACCTTTACCTAATTTATTTTTAACAGTTTACTGAGATTCCATATAGAACTGAGGTATTAGACAAAGCCAGTAATCATTCCCAGTTATTTATCTATTAATTACTTTACATCAGGGGTCCTCAACCCCTGGACCTCAGACTGTATAGGTCCATAGCCTGTTAGGAACCAGGCCACACAGCAGGAAGTGAATGCCAAGGAGTGAATGAAGCTTTATCTGTACTTATAGACACTCCCCATCGCTCACATTACTGCCTGAACTCTGTCTCCTGTCAGATCAGCAGCAGCATTAGATTCTCATAAGAGCCCAGACCCTACTGTGAACTGTGCATGCGAGGGATCTAGGTTGTGGCTCCTTATGAGGATCTAATGCCTGATGATCTGAGATGGAGCCAAAGAGGTGATGCTAGTGCTGGGGTGTGGCTGCCTATACTGATTAACATGAGCAGTAAGGTTTGACGGCACAGAGACCCTAATAAATCAATTGCTTGCAGACATATCAAAACTTTATCCGTGAGTGGCAAGTGAGTTGATATACTTCACTTGTCCAGCTGCATCTGGTGGCAGGCTTTAAGTCAGAATCCAACACTTATTTTAGTCCACACATAGCCCGCCCACTTACCACTTCCATCCGTACCTCTTTTTTTTACGGTGAGTTGTATAATTATTTCATTATATACTACAATGTAGTAATAATAGAAATAAAAAGCACAATAAATGTTATGTGCTTGAATCATTCCAAAACCATCCCCCCTCCTCCATGGAAAAATTATCTTCTATGAAACCAGTTTCTCATGCCAAAAAGGTTGGAGACTGCTGCTTTACATAACTGCATGTCGGCAAATATCATAAATGTAAGAACCTTAAATTCCAGAAGACAAAGCCATTCCCATCAAAGCAGCAACTTCAGAACAGTCCCATTCACCAAACGGTTATCAAGTCACATGAACTGAAAAGTATCTGATCTTTATTCACTTTACTTATGAGTACTCAGTTCTACAAAAGCCAATTTGGTACCAGCAACAAATACATCCACACTTGTACTTACTGCAAGATGCAAAGAATGGTCTTGTAGCTTTAATTCTTAAAGCTTTAGCCATGGATCAGGTAAAACTCACTAGCTAAAAGGAGGACAGTTAGATTCAAACTGCCTCTTCGCCAGTGGCCAATGTTCACTGAAATGTATCTGCCCCACATGACTGAAGCCCTTCACCAATTTTAGAGGGAACAGGGTAGCCAAGGAGACAGGCAAAGCAACTGAAGAGGGGCTGGTAGGAGAGGTTATCTTCAGGGTCAGTGAGGAAGCTCTTGAGTCTCTTTCCCACAGAAATTGATACCCGAATTCCTAGAAAGTGGACAAGCCCGGGCCCCTTCATTTCTTTTTCTGTTTGTTTGGTTTTTGTTTTTTGAGTCAGGGTCTCACTCTGTCACCCAGGCTGGAGTGCAGTGGCACAATCATGGCTCACCACAGCCTCAGCTTCCTAAGTAACAGATTACAAGGGTGCAAGGCCATCATTTCTGATCACAGTGGGCAAACTGTGGCCATCTGGGGGGGATGAACCAGAAGCCACTACTTCCTCCAGCTCAGGGGGATGGTTGGCACACTCCCACTGCTAGCGGCCCCTTGCACATTGATGTAGCCCCCAGGGTAGCTGGCTGGGTCGGCCAGGCCAGGCAGTGTGGCCCCTAGCAGCACCCTAGAGCGTGCCAGGGCAGTTTTGGTACCTAGACAGGACACTCAACAGGTCCCCACCCATGTGTGCAAGCTCCTAGGGGGTTGTTCCTTCTCTTCCTGCCACACAAGGGTGGGGAGGGAGATCCCCTACCAGGGTCTCCATGGGTAGATAAAGAAAGGAGTTGAGGTCGGGTCACTGGTGTGAGGTGACTCACCCAAAAGATGGTTCCGAAAACCCAAAACCTTTCTTTGCAGTGAAAGAGAAAGTGAATGAAAGAGAAGGTCGGGCCTCCTGGGACGCAGGATCCGGGCGAATCACCTGGCAGAACCCCCCACAGTGGCTCAGACCTCCTGCGGGCTCCATGTTCAGCACAACATGGGGCCTTGAGCCGCAGGCCAAAAAACCGTCCAGAATGGGCTTTGTCTTCAGCCCTTGTGTTCACATAGTGTCACCGAACAAAGCTGGGTCCCTTTGCCTGTGCACAACGGAAAGTCAAACGCCCAAGCACCAGTTTTAGCCGAAGCACTGGGTTTTTGCAATGAAAAGTGTTGATTGCAAGTCTAGTAACAGAGATGACAAAGGAAGTGCTCAAATCTGTCCCCCTGAGCTGGGGGAGCTGGGGTGTGGGGTTTTATAAGCATAAGGTAATGAAACACGATCTGATTGGCTCCTTCCATGGGGTGATCCTGCCAGGTGGTGTACCTGTCTTAATCCAATTCCAGCTCTTGTATTCTCAGTGGGAGCATTTAGGTCCTCCCCCAACCCATGACACTGGTTGCAAGCTGATTCATCCTGGCATGCTCAGGTTCTGTGACCTTCAAACTGGGGGTCTATGGCAACTGAAAATCAACTCGCAACTTCGTTACAGAAAAGTTGACCCAATTTTGTCTGATGCAGTTACGTGTAGTCCCAATTTCTGGGTTATACCAAGACAAATTGCATTACCTCCCACATACCTGCCCTCAAGGATTATTTAAGGGAGACAAAGAACTTTTGAACAGGGAGTCCCACCTTTAATGTTCTCATCCAGATGAATGTACGTGACATCATCTTACCTGTTGCAATGGTGCCTTCCAGCCCAGGTAGCAACAAGCCAAGAAGCAGCTCCCACGCTGTCCTGTGCTAGCCTCTTTAGGGTGGCTCCCTGGCTTCAGCTCCTCCACTAAGCCCTGCACTAGCTCTCACCCCCCACTTCACCATCTTCACTCCTCAGTTCTCCCATTGCCCTTGAGGACTAGGGCCTTGGATTCTATGCCCTTCATAGTGCCGGATATTGCCAACCCCCATAGCACTGGGAGCCTGGCTCGTCAACCTTGGAACTTATTCTACAGAAGTTGTTCCATTTCTCTCTCGAGGTCCCAATTATGAGATGGGGACCATTTTGGCCAGAGTAGAAACTTACCCATAGCAAAACCTTTAGAAGTGAGATTGAATAGTAAGCAAAAGCAACCTTGGAAAGAATGGGGTGATAAACACACACATAATTAAATGAGGTACTTTGCCAAGTGAAAGAAAACAATTTTTTTTAAACTTGGAAATGTATGCTTGGAGACAACAAAAGAGATGCAAAAATGTATGCTAAGTTGGAAGATTAATATTTATGAGATAAAAAACACTATGAAAGGGAAATTACGTTTCTGGAATCTTTTATCTCTCACCAGGAAATCAGATGTAGGAAACAGTTTCGTACACTTAAAGCTTCATTCAAGTCAGAGACCCGTAGTGATGTAAAGGCTAAAAGGAAGCAAAGCAGGTCACCTTGCTGACTCCCTTTTCTCCCCCAGACACTATGGACAGGTCTTCAGCTGGGAAACCTGTGAAGGGAGTCATTCTATATGCACATCTGTATGTTTACCTGTGTATAAGTCACTTCATGATTGTATTCATATTTGTATGATGGTTACATAGACACTGAAATCTATTTCCAAATATAATCTCATTTCCTAATGTGAATACGATCTGGAAGTTACAAGTGTGATTTCTAAGCACCCAGGAAATGTCTGTCCTGTGCCTCTTGCCCGCAGGTCAGCAATAGCATCTGGGCTCCAGGGCTACAATGCCACCCTGGTGGGAATACTCATGGCTGTCTTTTCAGACAAAGGAAACTATTTCTGGTTGCTGTTATTCCCTGTAGGTGCTATGTCCATGTCTTGGTAAGTTGTACCTGGTTTTCAAAATGCCTTTTTATGATAGGAGGAGGGAATGGAAATTGTTAAATAGCTACAGAGTCTCAGTTTTGCAAGATGAGAAATGTTCTGGGAATGGATGGTGGTGATGGTTACACAATGTGAGTGCCACTGAACTGCACGTTTATTAATAAAAATGGTTAAAATGGTAAGTTTCATGTTATGTATATTTTACCACTTTTTTTTAAACTAAAAAAAATGGATTCAGGTTATGTCTACTGGTTACAGCCAATTATTTGACCTTCTGTCTGATCTTCTTTCATATCCACCAACATCATTGCCTCATCCAGAGCCTCTCAACCCTGGCTGCACATTGATGCCTCCCGGGGAGCAGGAGAGAATACTGATGCAAGCAGCCCTGCCCCCACACATCTCACCCCCATCCCCACCCGAGGATTCTGATGTCATTGGCCCATGGTGGTGCCTGGGCGTTGGGAATTTTAAAAACTCACAGTGTTTCTAAAATACAAAGTCAAAACCCACTTCCCCCACCCGTGGTTCTCAAACTTGAACACTATCAGAATCACCTGGAGGGCGAGTTAAAACAGGAATGCCTGCTCCTTCAACACCAGGGCTTCCAATGCAGCCTCTCTAGAGTGGGGCCTAAGAACATGAATTTCTAATGAGTTCCCAGGTGATGCTGCTGTGGCTGGTCCAGGAACACCACCCCACCCCCCCTTTGAGAACCACTGTGCCTCCACGAACCCACCAGCTGGGGTCTCGTTTAAAAAAAAAGTTTTTTCACTAAATTCAATTGCTTTCTTTTTAAACTTAAATCCTTCAAACTAGTTTCTATGTTGACATTGTCTTAAATCCTTCTTCTGGAAGCAAAGAGTTCATTCTTTCTATATTGTGTTTTTAATGTAAAATACGAATGTGCACTCAAATGAGAAGCATTTGCAGAAGGACCCCCACTCTCAGGTGTGTGGAGGAGGACCTATGTGTGGAGCCCACCTCCCCAGGAGGTAACTTGGAACCCTCTCTGAAGAATAGATTCAAGGACTCACCACACCCCTCCCACAATCCAAGAAAATGGGAGTTCTGATCTTAAAGTGATGGTTCCTTGATTGGGTCAACGATGAGAGTCCTGCAGGGGCCCAGGGACAATGTAATCCAAACACCCAGTTTACAGACAAGGAAACTGAGGAGATGCACCTTACCTAAAGTCATAGTTTATCAGCAGCTCCAGGGCACATACCCTGCCACCTTGCCTATAAGATCTTTTTCCTCCAGCCCACACCACCTGTATTCTTCCCTAAACAATTGTTTCTCTTTTCCAAAAATAGATACACTGAAGACAAGGGAAATGTCATACTGTATGCCACATTCAGGATCATGGTGGCCTCTGGTGGGAAGGAGAGGGCCTAAAACTGAGTGGAATTACAAAGGGAACTTTAACTGTGTAGATAATATTTTATTTGGTATGTCTGAAGTACTTCAACAGTATTTTCAAAATCTTGATATGTAACTCACTTAACCCCAGAGTATAATTTTTCAAAGCCAAATAAGCTGAGATTATTATTATTAGTATTATTAGTATTATTATTATTATAGTTTATGTAAGAATTATTGTTTCTGTAAAAGGATTTATCACAGGTTTTCTCTCTGTGGACGATCTGCCAACATGACACTTTTGGGACATATTGGCAGGTGAAACAAGCCTGTCAGTGGGACAGAGACTCAGTTTGTCAGCCTGGTTTGTCACATGCATCTTCTCTGCTATTCTTTTAGCCCAGTTTTCACAAGCGCGTTGAATTCCGTGTTCAGCAAATGGGACCTCCCTGTCTTCACCCTCCCTTTCAACATGGCGTTGTCAATGTACCTTTCAGCCACAGGACATTACAATCCGTTCTTTCCAGGCAAATTGGTCACACCTGTAACCTCGGTTCCGAATATCTCCTGGTCTGACCTCAATGCCCTGGAGGTAAGATAGGTTGTCTTCTCATTTACCCCTGCCTCTGTGAGATACCCGATGGCCTCCTTGTTATTGTCTCTGAGTACCGGAGTCTCCTAGATGCTCAGCACGATGGTGGCCTTTCTGCCATCGGCTTGCCATCTAATGCATTTGTTCCGCTCCAGAGCGTTAGGATCTAAGGAATGTCTTAAATGACTCTTTGGTCAAAGCAAATTTCCCCTCTTTTTCTGTAGAGTATGACTCCACTGGGTGTCAGATGCTCTTTTGCAAGCTTGACCTTTGTTTGGGTGGGTGTGATGCAGCCAACCCCTGAGGCAGGCAGCCTTCCACCTGGTTTTAAATCTTCCATGATCTGCTTCCTCCAATCAAAAAGCAGATGCTTACTCTCAGGGCTCATTAGAGAACTTCTCCATTTTGGTTTTTCTTATGGTACATCTCACAGAACACATATAAGAATGTAGGGGTTGCGAGCTTTGGTGGGCAGCAGGATCACCTGGGGAGTTTTTTAAATACCAAAACAGACTTCATCTCAGACTCTCCAAATCATCATCTCTGGGGTGGGAGCTGTTTTAACAACTGTCCAAAATGTGATGTAGGTTAGAATTTGAGAACCACTGTCTCACAGAATGCATACTATATCTCTCTTTACAGATGGGCAGAGAGAGATCACCTATTTTTTAAAACCTGTTTAACCCAAATCAAATTCCATCTCTTCATTTAATAAACCTGCTTAAAGTTTCTTGATTATTAATAACAAGAGAAGCCATTGCCTTGCTAAGCTGTGGTGTGGCCATGTCCTCTTTGAGCTTTGGTCACTGTTTCTTGGCTTTGGCCCCCTCCCCTCCCCTGGGAAGGTGAATAATATCTCTCTCTCTCTCTCTCTCTCTCTCTCTCTCTCTCTCTCTCTCTCTCTCTCTCTCTTTCTCTCTCTCTCTCTCTCTCTTTCTTACTCTCTAATTTATTTTCTAAATAAACTATATTTTCTAATATAAAAAAGAACAAGAGGACATTTGATATTAGAAGAAAACCAAATAAACTTTACCTTTTTTAATGTGCAAAAGACTGGTTCTCCCACTACCAAGTTATAAAACACCCTTTGCTGTCTTCTTTGCTCAGTGATCAAAACACATGAAGCAGCTGGGCATGGTGACATGTGTCTGTAGTCCCCAGTACTCAGGAGGCTGAGGCAGGAGGATTGCTTGAGCCCAGGAATTCGAGGCTGTGCTGAGTTATGGGGGCACCACTGCACTCCAGCCTGGGTGACAAAGCAAGACCATGGTCTCTAAAAAAAATTTTTTTTAGACATGAGAGAAGCTCAAGTCACCCTTTCTTGAGCTTCTTGCCCAGAAAGTGAATGGAAGCATCTGGAAATAACTCAGAAGGAAAATCAAAGATTCATTAGAATGACCTGTGAAAAATAATATTATAAAGTAGCATTAATCTATCTAGAACTGTACTGTCTATCACATTATCCCTGTGTAGCTATTTAAATGTACACATTTAGATGTAAAATAGTTAAACATTAAGTTCCTCAGCCTCACCAGCTACATTTCAAGTGCCCGGTAGCCACCTGTGACCAGTCCCTGCTGTATAGACTAGACCATCATCTCGGAAAGTCCTGCTGGACAGTCTGACCTGGGGCAAAGGTGGCTTGTCCCTCTCCTGATGGAACCAGCTCATCACCAGCACACTCACTTGCCATCTCGCTCAAAGCTATCCCACGGCTCCCTGAGGAGCAGTTCTGCCATTGAGTTCTGAGCTTAAGGCCTATGCTGTCTTTGCCAAGTTCCCTGGTCTAGAAACAGACAATGATCTTGTTCAGACGTGAGGCCCCAGCATGGGCTGGAAGAATTCGGAGACCAACTTAGGATGGAGTCAAACTCTCACAATAGCAGGTGCACTTGGCCAACATTAGACAGAATACAAGAGGAAAGAGGCCACTTGTCTCATGCCACAGCTGGGATGCCCTCTATCAGTCACTGCCTCCAGGAGGACCCTGCCAAGAGGTACATATGACCTAGGGACGGTGAGGGGGTAGGCTGGAAAGCTAAGGAAGCTGTCTTTTGGGGCAGAGCCTTGCCCAGAAGGGAACTGTAGTGGGTAGTTATGCCTGTCTTGTCCCTACCAGAAGATTCCTCACAACCATGATCACTTGCGAGCTTGAGTCAGACCCAGAACACTCCCGAGAACCTCCATTCTGTGAACACATGAGCTAAATTTGGGCCTCAGCCAGAAAGTAGAATCATGGAATTTGCCTGTATCTTTGTGTTTTGAGGCCCGGTTGACAGTTGATGATAACCGGAATAAGCTCAAGATATCTTGGTTTAAATGAATACATGTTCCACTTAACAACAAGAGGGTAAATCCACAAACTCAGCAAGAATTGTTTCTAAATTGTGGATAAGATAACCCAAGTTTGGATCGCAGGCCTCAGCGCAAGCAGTCAAGTTGCGTGCTTCTGTTTCCTGTTTCTGTGAACACTGGGATGTGTGGATAGATTGTCCTCAGCATAGAGGGACGATTGAAAGCAAAAGTGTCTGCTGTGGTCCCTACCACCTCCATGAGAGGCGTACAGGCCCACACAGCCAGTGGCATCACACTGGGATCTTACCAGTTGAGTGTCCCGCAGGCCGGAGAGCCTGTGAGCACCAGGAGTTTTGAGAAGGCATGCTCAGGGTGCACCAGAGAAGGGTTGTCTCTCTCTCTCTCTCTCTTTCTCTCTCTCTCTCTCTCTCTCTCTCTCTCTCTCTCTCGAAAGCTAAAGAATGGCTGGAATTTTCCTATCATCATACAGAGAGAGAATTCTAAAAGGTGGTAGCACTGACCTGGAAAGATGAGTGTCAGATCTCAAATCCCATCGACTGAGTTTGTGGGCTTCTGTTCACTTGTGTTAGTGGTTTTACCTTTCATGTTTCTTCTGCAGTTGCTGAAGTCCGTGCCAGTGGGGGTTGGGCAGATATATGGCTGTGACAACCCATGGACAGGGGGCATTTTCGTGGGCGCCATCCTACTCTCCTCCCCACTCATGTGCCTGCACGCTGTCATTGGGTCCCTACTGGGCATAGCAGCAGGTAAGCAGAGAGATGTGAGCATGTGCTCCCACCCACGTGCTGTTCAGGGCACCCTCTGGATCCCAAATCTCTCTTGGGCCTCTGCCTCCTAGAAACCAGCAGGAGTGCTCGAGCTGCTTCCCACTGCCCCCTGGTCCCACCCCTGAACTTTTTCCAGAGCCTCCTGCCCTTAGTCCTGACTCTTCTTGTCCTGCCCAACAGGACTCAGTCTTTCAGCCCCATTTGAGGACATCTACTTTGGACTCTGGGGTTTCAACAGCTCCCTGGCCTGCATTGCAATGGGAGGAATGTTCATGGCACTCACCTGGCAAACCCACATCCTGGCTCTTAGCTGCGGTGAGTACCCCGCATGTCTGTGGGGAGCGCTGCCCATGACTACAGTATCAAAGTCAAGGGCAAGCAGTAGGAAAGGACTGTGTGAGAAATCAGGGCTGGGGTTCTAGTGTGGGTCCACTTGCTGGCTAAGGGTGTGACCAGGAAAAGTGATATCTCATCTCTGAGAGGATCAAAGTCGCCTCCGCCTACCTTTCTGGTGATGGCAAAGACAGGAGCCTGTTGAGTTGTATGAACACTAAAGTATGGATGCTTTGGAGGGCTGGAAACTTGACTTCTGTATTCTTCATACTAACTGTCTGACCCAAGAAATTAATAGGAAATAAGCTAAATACAGAGTCGCATGCCCTGGGGAATCAGAGAATTACACATGGCCCTGGGAAATCTCAGAATCAGAATCAGATCAGAATCACCTGAAAGGCATATTAAAACACAAATTGGAGTCCAGGCACAGTGTGATCTCAGCACTTGGTGAGGCTGAGGCAGGAGGATCTCTTGAGCCCAGGAGTTCAAGATCAGCCTGGGCAACATAGCAAGATGCTCTAACTACATAAAATCAAAAAGTTAGCCTAGCGTGATGGCACACAGCTGTAGTCCCAGCTACTCAGGAGGCTGAGCTGGAAGGATCACCTGAACCTAGGAGGTTGAAGCTGCGGTGAGCCATGATCATGCCACTGCACTCCAGCCTGGACAATAGAATGAGACACCACCACCAACAACAACAACTAAAAACAAATTGCTGAATCCCCTCCTCTGTGTCTGATTCAGCAATCAAGGTGGGGGAGAATCTGCCTTTCTGACAGGTTCCTGGACAGTGCTGATGATGCCCGGGGTCCACACACAAACAGCTGCTGTATGAATCCTCTCCAACCCCGTGTTCTAGCCAGACTCAACCTATCAGCACTAGAAGGCAATCTGGAGACATTCACTTCATCTTTCGTTTTGCTGTCAGGTCCTGAGGCCAGAGAGGATGGGAGTGTGCCAAACGGCACCTGGGCAGTCCACACTGGCCCACAACCTCCAGGGCTGCTCCCACTGCATGACTCTGCTATCCTTTTTGTAGTGTTCAGGCCCACGAGTTGAAACAGACCTTGTGTGCTCTGGATCTGAAAAGCTAGTGATTCCAACACTTCGGGAGGTGGAAACAGGAGGATTGCTTGAGTCCAGGAGTTTGAGATCAGCCTGGGCAACATGGCAAGACCTGGTCTCTACAAAAAATAAAAAAGTTAGCCAGCCTGATGTCCCAAGCTGATTCTAAGGGGAAGTGTATTCATTCCCAGACTCCAGCATCCCGAACACAGCACAAGTGAAAGCACTTAAGGGGATGTTCTAGAATGGGGCGATGGCATTCCCTTGGTGATGATCAGAGGGTGGAAGGACAGTGGAATGTGGAGAAATTGCTCCTGATTTAGTGGAAATACGTGTCTAGAGACAGTTTATCACCAGATTAATCAAACCAAGGTGTCTAAGCAACAATGAAGATGGTGGAGCAGGTGACAGACGGGATTTAGAATGGATTCCTGCACTGGCAGGAAATAGGGTGGGACCAAGGGTTTCCAAGACCTCACTCAGTTTTGATTTGAAGTCGTAGGTTAACAAAGCTCAGGCTGCTGTGGCATTGCCATTTTGATGTCATTTTGTCAATTTCTTTATAGTTACTCAGTGATTTCCCCTAATAGTTCTGTTAAAACTTTTTGCTCAGCCAGGCATGGTAACTCCTGCCTGAAATTCCAGCACTTTGGAAGGTCAAGGTGGGAGGGTCGCTTGAACCCAGGAGATCAAGACCAGTCCAGGCAATGTAGTGAGACCCCAGCTCTACAAAAAATAATCGTAATAACAATTAGCTGAGTGTGGTGGCACATGCCTGTGGTTCCAGTTACTCAAGAGGCTGAGGCAGGATGATCCCTTGAGCTCAGGAGGTGGAAGCTGCAGTGAGTTTTGATGGCCCCACTGCTGATTCTCCATATTCATCCAGAAGTTTGGGGCAGAGGAGAGGGCTGTGGGGAGATGCTGCAGCCACCTGAGCTCAGCTGGGATAGAATCTTCTACAACCTCCTGGCTTTATTCTGAGATGGGCATGGGATTTCAAACCTTTATTTGGGGCACACGCCTATATTTTTTCTGTAGGCAGTAGCAGCAGACACCCATTCAACACTCATGATACAGTGGAGACAGTGGAAATAAGAAAAGTGAGGGTTTTAGAAGCTTTAAGTCCTGTGCGACTCCCACATGCAGAGCATTACAGTGGAGGTAGTAGCCAGGTAAAGGAGGGAGCCCAAGGGAAGCCACGCAGCTAGCGGAACAAGGAGAAATATACAGTATGGGATTGTCAGGGGGGAACATTCCAGTCCAGATCACCAAGAGGGACCCCTGGTGAAGGTGGCTTTTCCATAAATCCTAAAAAATGACAATAATAATTTTTTTTTTTTGAAGACAGTGTCTGTCACCCAGGCTGGAGTGCAGTGGCATAATCATCGCTCACTGCAGTCTCAAATTCCTGGGCTAAAGCAGTCCTCTCACCTCAGCCTCTCAAGTAACTGGGACTACAGGCGTGTACCACTAGGCCAAGCTAATTTTTTAATTTTTTTTTTGTAGAGATGAGGTCTCCCTAAGTTGCCCAGGCTACCCTCGAACTCCTGGCCTCCAGTGATCCTCCTGCCTCGGCCTCTCAAAGCGCTGGGATTATGGACGTGAGCCATAATGTTTGGTGGAAAGGGTAGAACAGGCCAGCATGGGGACAGCCTGAGCACATCCTTCGAAATCAAGCAGCAACAATTCTGGGCACTAGAGATGGTGGTGAGGTTTTGACAGAACGTGGGGAGAGATGAAGCCAAAGATATCTGTAGATGTGTTTCCCAAAGTAGTAATGTCTTTACTATTTTTTTCTTTATAGAAGCAGTACAGGTTAGTGTAGAAAAAAAACACCAAATATTCAGTAAGAATAGAAAGGTATGGAACAGAAAGTAGAAATACTCCACCCTACTCCCTCTGCTGTGCTGACCACATCATCCCTCAAGGTCCTCATTCCTGGTTCATTAACTCAGCTCTGTGAACTGTAGGTTGCTCAATGTATCATCCTCCTTTCACAGTGTTTTCTCTCCCAGGGTCCCCACTCTTTGTCCCAAGAGCTTATTTCTCCTAGGGGTACCAGCAGTTTGAGTGAACCTCCGGGTGGGAGTGGGCGTCCAGAGCTAAGAGGCATCAGGTGCGTCTAAGGAGGAAGGAGAGGGGGCTCTGTCCCAGGGTCTAGCACCCCCACTGTGCAAGACAGTGGAGGTGGCCACTGTGTAGACACTTTATATGACAAGTGCCCCTTACTGGGGGAGTCCGGAGGCATCTAGTTTGGAACCATCACACGCAGTGCTACAAAGATTATCTTTGTAACAAATGACCATGTACCAAAGGATGTATTTCTAGAAGCCAATCAATGGGTCAAAGGGAATGCCAATTTTAATTTCAATGGAGGCCAAATCCATCCCCAAGAGGGCCGCATTCATTTCCACTGCTGCCAGCAGCATGTGAGCATGCTCCTGGGCCCCACAGGTACTGTCAGACTTTTTCATCCCTGCGTGTGAATTTTTGAGACAGCCCTCCAACCCCTCTTGTAAAGCAAATGTCACCTGTGGCATGCCACAGCAAGTTTCAGCTTGTACACATCATCCTGATACTGCCAACAAAAGGGCAACCTTTCAGCCAAGGTAAATAAATAACAGATATTTATTGCAGAACTGTTCTTTTATATCAGTTCCAAATGTCATTATCAGGAAATGGACTAGGGAAACTCTGACAGAACTTGGCACTGCCGCCTTCCTGGTCTCTAAACCAGAAACCACATGGCCAGGGAATGTCTTGGTGTTGCTATTTTATCAGGAGAAGTGGTAAACACATTTTGTATCTCTGTTCAACGGCTGGGTCATCATGGCAGGACTCACATTTGGCAGCCTACTGGAAGGGACACTGTCTATGAAAAGCTGAAATCCAGTCTCCCCTTCAGTATTCAAGGGCCTTTTCTTTCTATTGGATACCAAGAATACTGTCAGGGTCATTATCTACAAATAGACCATTAACTTAAAATTTCCCCTTTAATACAAAACTTTCCCTGTCCTACCTCAGCAAGTGTTCATCGACGGTTTCCTGCCATTAAATAGTCTGCCACTTTTGCTATGGAGAGAAAAGTGACTTAGAACTGGAGCTCACTTCAAAACAGCATAACAGTACGAGGCAAAAACCTGCCAAAAGAAAGCCTCAGAAATATAACAGGTGTTTAAAAGAGAGATGGCAATAAGGTCTTATGTGCTCAGGGAAAGTGTTGTGCCAGACTTGGTACTCAAGAGAGCAGGGACAGGGTGTCTCTGATCTCCACAGAGGACCAGCGAATTGTCGTTGAGTTAATTGATTGATTACATGTTCAAAATGAATGAAATGGATGCAACCAAGGAGAGAACCCTTCTAACCCAAGCCATGCACACCCCTCTGTTGAGAACAGCATCTCAGTCCTTCAAGTAAAGGGCTGAGTGAGGTTCAGCTGCCTCTGTGGCAGTGTGCTCTCACTTGGGATGTATCACCTCCCTGCAAAGTAGATCTTCAAGTTAGCTTTTTATAGTGATGATACTGGATTCCAATAAACTCAGTAATTTGTTATACAGCAAGTAAGATGGTGGAGCTGGGATTCCAGGACTGTCTCCCAACACCAGCCCTTCCCACTAGCATGAGACAACTCAGATATGACTATTGAACAAGAGACACTAGGGTAAGAAGGTAAAATATGGATGAAAGGACAGAAGTCTTAATTAAAGTGGGTGAGGACCACAGAGTCCTCCCCATGTCCCACACCCCGAGATAGCTGATGAAACTCCTCTCCAAACACGAAGACTAGATGGCGAGCAAGTCTAGCAGTGAGCTGGGTGGCTGTCACACGAAGGTCATTCTTCAGGCTGTCCCTGTGTGACCTCAGGGCTTCCTTGAGCCTCCTGGAATCTCCTCTTCAGTCAGAATAGGAATTGATAATTAGCTGGTTGAGATCTTTTTTTTGTTGTTCTATATTAAAAGTCACAAATACATTCAATTGCCCACTCTACAACTTCTTTTTGCTCCAAGTAAATAAAAACGTAAGATGTTTATTCATTGACCTGAAGGGTATTAGGGAAAATGTTATTGTGAGGAGGATGCTTGAGTTTCACTTCAGTTTCTGCTGCTTCTGAGTTGTTGCCTTTCTGTTTTTGTACATCATGGTTTTGTGGGGGTTTTTTAGGATGTGTACTGTTGATGCAAGCCACATACCAATTTTTTTGTAGCTGTGAATTTCAACCATTGACATAAGAAGCCTAAAGGCAGTGAGGTGATATAGATGCCAGGCTCTCTCCAGAAACATTCATAAGTTTTACTTTAATTCAACTGCATGTGAATCAAATAACAGGGAAGTTTATTTGCCGTGGAAGGCCTTTCCCTTGAGCATTAGTGATAACAACAAAATAATAACTACAAAACAACTACCATTACTGAGCACTCACTGTGTACTAAGCACAAACATTTCCTTGCATGCTCACACCAACCCCATGAGAGCAACATCCCTATGACTTCCACTGTACAGGTGAGAAAATGGAGACTGGGAATGGAGTCCACTGCCTAAGTGGCAGGGATAGGATTTGAGCCCAGAGCTGCCAACTCCAGTCTCATGCTTGCAGCCAGGGTGCTGGGCGAACCGGTAAAATGTGGCCGTGGCCAAGGAACTTCCATTACAAGGCCACTTCCCCGTGGTTAAAAGTGCATCTACCAAGCTCTGTGCTTCCTTCTTTTTCGCAGCCCTGTTCACTGCTTACCTCGGAGTCGGCATGGCACACCTGATGGCCAAGGTGAGTTTGTTTTTATTTCACTGTATCACTAGCACAAGTGGCCAGCTTTCAATGACATAGAAAACACGCCTGAAGTCTGCCCGGGAGTTTTCCAGCAGCAGGACCCATGGCTGTGAGAGACACGCGTCTCCCTTCTGCTGGGGTTCTCTGACCTCTCTTCCAGCATCACAGCAAACTTTAGTCCAAACTACAATCACCTGGCGTGTCACAGGTATCAGGTTGCTTTGTTTAAGGAAGAATAAACTATCTAGTTTATAGTCTAACTCTGAGTGATAAGAAGTTGACTTTAGAATATGTTTGCTTAAACAGAAAGCCAGGACTCTACAGTACTTGAGAAAGCAGGAAAGGAAGGGAAAGGGTGACTGGGTAAAGACCCAGGTGTTGTTGTGGTTGTTGTTGTTTTAAATCTAGTTAATAGTTTTCCATAGCTCTTGTCTTTTAAAAAAAAATCCTTAGTCAAGGCTGGGTGTGGTGGCTCATGCTTTTTTGTTTTTTGTTTTTTGTTTTTGAGATATAGTCTCTCTCTTGTCACCCAGGCTGGAGTGCAGTGGCATGCTTATGGCCACTGCCACCTCGACCTGCTGGGCTTAGGTGACCCTTCTGCCTCAGCTTTCCAAGTAGAGCTCATGCCTTTAATCCTAGCACTTTGGGAGGCCAAGAGGGGAGGATCACTTAAGGCTAGGAGTTCAAGACATGCCTGGGCAACATAATGAGACCTTGTTGCTAAAATTAATTAATTAATTAATTGACTAATAATAAAATAAAATTCTCAGTCATCAACAAGACTTATTCAGACCCAAATCCTGGCTGAATTTTTTAATAGGCAAAATCACTACCCATTAAGTGCCATCTACCTCTCTTTCAGCTCAGTCCTCTTGCTCTTTGACCTCCCCTCCCCTGAGAAGCCTAGAAGTGCCTAACTGTGCCAGGATCCCCACCTCCCAATGCCTGAGTCTTTTATCTTCCTCACCACCATTGCAGGTGATGCCTGGCCAGCCTCTGATAGCTCAGTCTGTGTTGACGTGGTTGTAGCTACCAAAGGGTCAAAGCAGTATTGAGCCCTCTCAACAGCAACACAGAGAGTTGACCTGGGAGAGTCCTTATGGAGACACAATGTCTTTCTCATGGAAAGCCAAAATCCCACTACAGGCATGGTGGGGAGTGCCTCAGAGCATGGTGGCCCCCTCATGTCTGCCTCCCAGGTCCATCCATGCACAATGGGCAAACTGCACACCAGAGTCAGCTAGGAGACTAGAAAACACCAGATCCTCGGGCCCCACCCCTTGGCATTTTGGATGGAGAAGGTCTTCTCTGATGCTAGAGCATTTGTGTGTCTTCGGACTCCTCCAATGGTGCTGATGTGCAGCCAGGTCAGGGTACCCTCACACTCCTTCACAACCCAGGGAGTTCATGCAGCAGGGCCAGAGCTAACCAGTGGGCTATGCTCAGAACCATGTGAGTTGCCACAGACCTGCCCACCGGCAACTCGGAATCTCTTGGGAGACAGAATGGAAAGAATCAACGCAAGCTACACTGGGTGGAAGTCAAGGTCAAGGAGGTCCCATGGGCTGGACTAATTGGAGCAGGCCTTGTGGACATGAGGAGTGGTTAGAGGCCATGGGCGCTTTGCAAGTGCCACCTCTGTGTGCCAAGTATTGTCTCCACACAACTGGTGTAGGAAGTCTGCCTGTAGGAGATGGAAGGAAAAACATGAGCTAAAGATATCACGGGCCACCTTAGATAGAATGAAGAAGACATTCCCATGGCCATGTGCCCGGAGCTATTAGACTCGGTCCCCATGAGCAGAAGGGAATTTAGGACAGTGCCCCCCCTTGGCACCCCAACACTGAGCTGGGTAAAGGGGGTGCTTTGTGATCTCAGATGGGGTCTCAAAGGAGCATGTGGTCTCTCTCCCTCCAGGTTGGCCTGCCAGTTTGCACCTGGCCCTTCTGTTTGGCCACACTGCTGTTCCTCTTGCTGACCACCAAAAACCCCAACATCTACCGAATGCCCTCCAGCAAAGTCACTTATCCTGAAGAAAACCGCATCTTCTACCTGCAAGCCAAGAAAAGAATGGACGAGAGCCCCTTGTGAGGGCAGTGCCCTCACGACCATGGCCACAGTCATTTCTGACTGGCTGCTCCAGCGGACTCCCAGGGCCTCATGAGTAACGGCTTTTTCACTATGTCATCAGCAAGCTCTCTGAGGCTCATTGTGTATTTTTCTTTTCAACTCCAGGAATATGCTCAGGTGTACGTCCAGGGGGTGTGCTCCGGGTTGGAATGTAAACCTCAGTGGGAGGCCTGATCTTGTATACAAAGCCAAAATGCTCCAGCAAAAAGAGGACATGAGATCAGAGCTAATTATTGACATTTATTGATATTCTTGGTATTTGGCTGGCTAGAGGATGTGAACGGTATTAAAAATTAAACTCCACAAACCAACTAAGTTCACCCAGGATTTTCAGATAAGAAGTTTGGCTGTTTGAAATCAATGCAAGTTACACATTGCAGCAGGGGTCAGCATTGCAGAGGTGCAGGCAGACAGCTGGACCAGGTCCCCACTTCCTTCACAGAACGACCTCTATGCTGTCCCTGGTGTGTGTGGAGATGGTGGTTGTGGTTTTTCAGACTGGCCAAGCTGTGGGAGGGAGAAAGGGATTTTTGTCAGTCAAAATTATTCTGTGTGGCCACTTTTCTTGGAGATTGCTAAGGATTTTTTTAGATAGAGAGTATTTTTTTCTTATGAAAAAGAATTTGTTTTCAAAAAGATAAAATAATAGAAGTTCCTGGCTTACTCATTTCCTAGACATTAAGGAGAAGTAACAGACTGCATTTATGAAATACTCAGCTTAGCTATTTTTACCTTAATCCCTAAATTGATTTTGTAAATGTGACAAATGCATAGAATCATCATCAACCTCCAAGGACCCCTTAAAGTTACATTTTAAATTCAGAATGAGGATGTCTTATAAAGACCAAAGGTAAAGGTCAAATTGCTCATGGGTGTTATTTTTAGAAGTTGTTGAATTTCCTATTTTAAAAAAAAAAAGCTCATTACTCTCTACACACTCATAATATTCTTTCTCAGAAGCTGATGGCATTTGAACCAGTCAAAAGAAACAGAGATAAGGAGTTCTCCTGTGTTTCTCCTTGTTATTTGAAAGTTCCCAGCTCTGTGAAAGCTCCATGACCAATGTGCTGAAAACAGCAATAGAACCTCATGCACCTGCCCATCCAGGGTGCACCGGTGTGGTATTTTGGAGGTTGGACAAGTGAAATCTTGAAGTCCTGAAAACTTTTCCCTCTGCGAGTATGCAGTGCTCAGTGTACAACATACAACCAGCTGAATACCCAAACGGAAATAGAGAACCTACAAATATCTTAGGGAGAAGTTCATTTCTTCCTTTTCTCAGGAAACCAAACAAGCAAACATTGTTCCCTTATTAAAAAAAAAAAAGAAATCCTTTGCTTCAAACCTTTCAAAACTATGAATTTGCAACTACCGTATGTTGATGGACATTCCTGTGGAAAAGCTACATTGTCAGTAGGCAATGTGTGAAATAAGAGTTGAGGAAAACAAAGAAGGCAAACATGACCAGAGACTGACAACAGAGAAGAGTCTAGGCTATGGCCGAAGGAATCAGGGACCTGGGCCTCTGAATGGACTCAAGTCGACCTTCAGAATGGGCTCAAATGTACTCTTGACAGCAACTTCTTCTTGTGCTCACACAGACTTGTAAACAGCAACATTTGAAAGTCTTGTGTTTGTCTAATTTGAAATGGTATTAACTCTCAAGCTATTTTTGTTACTGTTTTATCCTAAAATTGAGTATTCACAGGGAACACTTGTATTTTTTCCCTGTTGTCTGCATAACCAATTTCTACGCAAGTATATGAATAAATGACCCTCACAGCCCAGTTTTGTGCAATGTGCTATCTATAACCACCATGCATATGGATAGTCACGTGTGTACATATGTATTGCTTATGTTGCAATGTGCCAGAGCCCAGAGTTCCCTCTTGTGCTTGGTAATAGCACCAAATGTGCAATTGAACAAACCCCATTCAATTTCAGAATGACAGGCCTAGCTTACTGAGGACAATGACAGCTGTTCAGGACATGCTCCGAGCGCGTTGAGATCAATATCCTGGGAGCCACTTCCATGCATCCCCAGGCAGGTCCTGGGCACCTGCATCGGGGCTGACCTGGGCATGTTCCAGGGGTCAGCTCTCTAGGACAAGCTACTTGCCAGAATGCTATCTCCCGAGGACAAAGTCATGGCCATGCACACTTACCTTTGCCACCTCCCTTTACCATAGCTAACACATCTGAAAAAAAACAGGGTAAGAATGGAAATTTACTTCAACAAGTTTCAATGATAAGGTTCAAAGCAGTTCAAACAGGATCTCAAAAGAGCCATAATGCAGTGCCCCCAGAAGTTCTCTCTTTCATTACGAAACCTCTCCTACATATGACTTCAACGTAACACATTTGCCAGAGTGATCTGGTCACTACACAACTTCTTTTGCCTGAAGGAGAAAAGACAGAGGGTTTTGAGGCTGCTATGCGAAAGACTCCAGACACCATGGGGCTACCAAAAAAAAAGTATACATTTTAAGAAAGGAAAAACTATATTAAAATTGTAACCCTCACTGTATATCAATAACAAAAGATGAATACAAGTCATATTTGACTTCTACAATTACAAGAGGTGCTCAAAGTGGTTACCGTCAGCATCTAGGCACTTTATAATTATGGTAAACTAAAAGTAATACATAGATAACAACTCTTACAATGTGTATACATTGTTTTGGCACTCCCGGTATATACATTTAGGAGCTATGGGGGCCAATTTGTCTGTTACCTATGATACAGATTATCATGGACTATGTCCAAATGAATGTTAAGTTTTACAGGAGATCAGGAATTTCCAAGGAGTCTTCTTACAAACAAACCTGCAAGAATATTGTGGTTAGTAAACATAAGACAAGATTTTATGCATGACAATGCAGCCTTCCCCTTTATCTAACAAGTTTGGATAGGCTTTAATCTGGGCAACAGAGCAAGACCTCGTCTCTACAAAAAAATAAAAATATTAGCCAGGCATGATGGTGAATGCCTGTAGTCCCAAGTACTCGGGAGGCTGAGGAGGGAGGATCGCTTGAACCCAGGAGGTTGAGGCTGCAGTGAACCATGATCGTGCCATTCCACTGCAGCCTGGGCAACAGAGTGAGACCCTAACTCAAAAGGGGGAAAAAGCTTTAATCTTTAGAATTTCATCTTCTTGAACTGCATTGACAACCCCCAAGACCATCAGAAGGGCTCATAGCTTAAGACTGCAGAGTACCATGAACTAAAACAATCAGCTTTGCAGATCCTAAAGGCATCTAAGGTTTAATAAATGAATATAGTAAATAACAGTATTTTAAAGAAAGGAGGCCAGGTGCAGTGGCTCACACCTGTAATCATAGCATACTACACCGAGGCAAGGAGATTACCTGAGCTCAGGAGTTTGAGACCAGCCTGGGAAACTTGGCAAGTTCTCATCTCTACAATAAATTTTTTAAAATTAGCTCACACACCTTGGAAAGCTGAGGTGGGAGGATGGCCTGAGCCCAGCAGGTCAAGGCTGCTGTAGCCTTGAGTGTGCCGCTGCTCTTTAGTTTGGGCGACAGAGTGAGACTGGCCCCCAAAAATTGAAAATAAGCATAGGCTGTTTCTCATCACTCTTAATTAAACTATAACTTAGATAACAGTGGCTCAGAATAGACATGCGCAGTCACCTGAAAGATAAAATTTGCTTCCAGACCCACCCTGAGCTTTCTAGTGCTAACCTGGTAGGTGCGGAAATATCCAAAGCAAGCTTGTGTCCCCTGATGGGTAACGGGTCAACGCCTGATCTCAGGAGACCAAGGCAAATGTAGGCAGGGGTATTTAGCACAGGACAGGGGGCAGAAACAGGTGTCAAGGGCCATCTCTGTGGTGGAAATGGCGCTGGGACCTGCCGTGGTTTAGTAAAACAAACCCTTGAGATCAGCAACCAAGGCCCTGTCTGATCTGTACTCATGAGCCCTTTGGCTTCCTGTATTAACTTGCCTTTTAGGAAAAAAAGCACATTTGTCCACACACATGTGTTTTTGATCCTTGAGTATTACATTCATTTGTTCTGATTAATAATTCTCATTTTTATGCATACATTTTAAAAGTTGTATTTACCCATATAGGTCACCAAAAGCCAAACACCCTCCCTGGTGCTCCAACAAAGTTAAATTTCTGAGTCCCCAAAGATGGATGGGGGGTGTGGTCAGGGAAGGCCTCCTGGAGGAAGTGCCATTCAGGCGGAGATCTAAAGACTAGGCGGGAGGTGGAAAGGGGAAGGAAGACGGAGTATGACGAGGCAGGACTCTTTATACTCAGGCTTTTGCCAAGGTTGGAGGACAGTGCCGTGCTCACAGCCACCGCAGCCTTGACCTGCTGGGCTCAGGCGGTCCTTCCACCTCAGCCTTCCAGGTAGCCGGAACCACAAGCGCGCACCGCCACGCCTGGCTAATTTTTTGATTTATTATAGAGACAAGGTCTCTCCAAGTTGCCCAGGCTGGTCTTGAACCCCTGGGCTCAGGCAATCCTCTTGCCTCTGCTCCCAGAAGTGCCGGGGTTACAGGTGTGAGCCACCAGAGTGGGACTCTTGGGAAGGGAAACTTGAGAGTTAAGACCTCGAGACCGGAAGGAGGGTGGCACTTCCAGGATGCGGCTGGATACGGTGAGTGAAAAGGCATTGGCATGAACTCGGGGACCTGTCAGGAGGCCACTGCAGGCCTGTAGGAGACAGGCGGTGATGGCTTGGACTCCGGCAGAGATGAACGTGAGGGCCAGGAAGTGGAGCCATCAGGACCAGGGTAGATGCAGGCCTGAGGGACGGGGAGATGTCAGGAAGACGTCCTGATCTCCAGTGCGGGCCACAGGGGGAATGGTGGCACCACTGAGGGAGCGCAGAAGAGCGTCTTCTCCTCTACCTGACCAATCCCATCCCTCTCATGCTTCAATTCAGCCCTTATGTTCAACTGCCATCTGAGACTCTTCTAAAGCACCTCCTCAAATTCAGCTCCTCCAGAGCAAGACTCAGCTCCTCAGCTGTCCTGCTCTCCCCCCGCCGTGTAAACCCATGGGGAAAGGTGGTACCCAAACAGACAAGCCAGAAGCAGGATGCCATCCTCGGCGTCATTCTCTCACCTCTGGGAAATAGTCAGCGTCCGAAGATCCCACCCCATCATTCATTAATTGACAAATGATGTATTGAATAACTATTGACTCCCTAGCAGGAGCTGGGACTACAGCTGGGAACCAGTCATGGTCTCTGCCCTCATGAGAACTTAGGAAGTAAGCTGACAAGTCAGTGAGTGATTTAATGGAGTGATGATGAGAATGAGGGAAGGGTCTTCCAGGGACCTCTTCCTTCTAAGAAACAGAGACAAGAATTTATCATTAAATTCCTGGTGTCCATACCAGTGTGGATGCTTTGGGCTGCCAGTAACAGAATACATGACTAAAAGTAGTTAAAACGGCAGGAATTTCATTCCTAAAAGTAGGAAGCTCCAGGTGTGGCACTGCTTCTCAAAGATGACATCAAGGGTGCAGTTTCTTCCCATCCTCCTCATCATTCTCCACATCCTCAGAAGGCTCCACTTCCATCCCAAGGCCTGTTGCCTCAGAGTCACAAAATGGGTTGCAAACATCACAACCACGTCAAGAAGAACCAGAGTTGCAAGAGAGTCATTCTGTCATATTTCTTTGTTTTGTTTGGTTTTGTTTGTTTCTAGAGACGGGTCTTGGTCTGTCACTCAAGCTGAAATGCAGTGGCATGATCACAGTTCATTGCAGCCTCAAACCCCTGGACTCAAGTGATCCTGTCGCCTCAGTCTCCTGAGTAGCTAGGACTACAAGTGCCTGCCACCACACTCAGCTAATTTTTGTGTGTGTGTGTGTGTGTGTGGAAGAGAGAGGTCATCTATGTTGCCCAAACTTGTCTCAAACTCCTGGCCACAAGAGACCCTCACAGTCAACTTCCCAAAGCTCTGGGATTACAGGCATGAGTTACCATGCCACACCCTCTTGTTTCTTTCTTTCAATAAATCTTTCTCAAAAGCCCCCCCCAGAATACTTTCATTTGTGTCTTTTTGGTAGACGTGGGTCATTCAGCCATTGCTGAATGCAAGGGAGTCTGGGAAAGCATGCACTGGTACTGTCAGCTTCTATTGTACGGGTGAACTCTGCCGAATCAGAGCAAAGCAAGAGGAATGGCCACTGGACAGGCAGCCATGTCTGCCATGGTGGTATATAGTATCACCATGTAGTATATAGTAGTTATGTGCCCACAGTGGAGAGAGCCAGGAGTGGTAGACAAGACTGACTATTGTGGAACTCACAAAGGGGTCTGGAACAGAGACACAGTGCCAAGACCTTTTACACAGAAATGCTTAGTGGAATGCTTACCAAGCTCTTCCTGGAGTCTTTAAGATACCCCAGCCTCATTTAAGGTTGTGTAGCCTCTGACCAACAGGATTCTAAGCAAAGGATGAGACGTGATCATGACCAGGTTGGGAAATTAGGATCAGTTCATGTCCTAATTCATTCTCTTCATCTCGCGGTTGAAGCCTCTAAATCATTCCATGTCAGAAGCCCCATTGGAAAGAGTTGAGTTTCCAATCAGCTACAGCTCAATGAAGTACTGAAAACAAGTATCCAACATTTTCTGGTTCATGGTTTCAAATAAACAACGAGGAAGCCAGTTTCCTGTTTGGGTTGGGTTTGCTGGATCCCAGCCCAACAAAGTTTTGAATTACGGCGCGATGGCATGCAAGGACCAGAGGGGGAGATATGAAGCACAGAGGAAAGCTGGTCCAGCGCCAGGAAACCTGGCTAAAATTGATCCCTCGGACCATGGGAAACAATGGCAACGAGGACGTGAGTCAGTGGTCCAAGTGCAAGTGCATCTGGGGGCAGCAAAAGTACATGCAGGCAGGCAGTGGGCTGGACAACCCCACAAGGAGACCTTTCTTCATCCTGACACCCTCCAAGTCGGTCTCTCAATGAGAGACCAGATCTGCAACTATGGAACAGGGTAGCCACCAGCCACAGGTGGCACTCTCCATGCAGCCAGTCCAAGGTGAGATGGCTTCTATGTGTAAAATTCACACTGGATTTCACTTAAGATCCCAAGAAAGTTAAACATCTCAGTCACTTGTATGTTGATTAAATTTTGAAATGACAATAGTTTGGATGTATTGAGTTAAATAACATATATTGTTAAAATTAATTTCACCTTTTAAAAACTTTAGT